TGCGGGCCGCCCTGCTGGGCGCGGCGCTGGGCTGCGCGGCCGCGGCGCTGATCCCCGCGGCTGACGTGAAGGTGGAGGTGCTGCAGAAGCCGTTCCTCTGCCACAGGAGGACTAAGTGGGGGGACATGATGCTGGTTCACTACGAGGGCTACTTGGAGAGGGACGGCTCCATGTTTCACTCCACGTAAGTAGCTCGCCCCGGCCGTCTCGCCTTCGAGGGGAGATCGCTATATCGTTCTATAGGTATCTTTTTAAGTATTTCAGTGTAGGTGATCTCTTCTGGCTGTGCTTTCCTGAATCCGAACCCCTCGCAGTGGCCCGTAATCCAGCTGCGAAATAGCTCTGTGAGGGGTGTTTTGTTGAGGACGGGCGTTTATTTTATTTTTACAATTGTCCCTTCTTCCCAAAACGCCCAGAACTTGCGTTTACCTGTGTGCAAGGAAACAAAAGCAATGCATGCATGGTCATAGCATGCTCTAGATTTTATTTTTTATTGAATTAAAATAACTTAAATAACGCTGCACAAATGTGTCAGTGGGACCCTTTCCACTGCCACCTATTTTCAGAAAGTTTGGTTTGCCTTTATACTTTGACAGTTTAGGGAGCACTGACTCGTAATGCTATTTAAGATGAACGCCAACAGTAAAGCTTGTCTCTTTTCCTTTTGTCAGATCGAGGCTATAAAATAAACCTTATTTAGCTTTTGTTTTCTGGTTAGTCTGTAGAAAGCAGAGCCATGTGGCGTTTGTTAAAAGATGGGGATGTTGCGTATCCTCTTCTCCGGTTTAAACACGGGTATGTGATCTCAGCAGTTTAACAAGTCTTCTGCTGTGCACGAATTTCTGTCTGGTTTCTAGGGGAGAAGCCTGCCTCTAATTAAAAAAAAAAAAAGTTATATATATCCTTCCACTACTGGCAGCACAATGACAGCTTTTCATTACTGAAACAGCATATTCTTCACCTGCCCCCGACCAGACAAATCAACATACCAGAGCCACAGTAATGCAAGTAGGAGGAAGAGCCAGAAATTCGAGGGAGTCCTGCTGAGAGCGTGCAACGACTTACTAATGTTGTCTTTCCTGTAAAACATCAACGAGGTGTTAATAGTGGGAGACAGCAAAATGCTCAAGTATCTGTAGGCTATGTCTGAAGTCTACTTTTGTGGAAGTTTTTTTTTTTTTTAAATACATTGTCTTGCATGTTTGTACTCTTGCAGATGATTTAAACTAAAATCTCGCTAATTTTCTCTTGTAGTTAACCTGCCTCTCTAAAAGGAGTTCTAGTGACACTCTTGAGTTTTTGCTGCTGACTAACTTCTGTAAGTGCTCTGTTTTCTTGTTAAGCACCTTTCCTGCATGACTAGTAAATCGAGCTTGTAAAATTCTATGTCTGTCAGTGGAGTGAAGGTAGTCCTGGTATACCACCTGGTTAAATTGGGAAAGGGGCTTGTCTGCCTATTTTAAACTTGAATGTTTTGCATGCGTTTGTTTCTGTTTTTCCAGACTATCTGTTGTGTAGTTGTTTGGGGTTTTTCCCAATGGCTTTTTTGGAAGAGATGTGGCTGATTCTTCTAAGCATGTTATAAGGTATATTGTAATCATGACCAACCTGGTTTTTGATTTGCAATTTACCAAAAAATATGCATGGCCTTGATCGTAGATTTTTAAGTAGAAATGCCTTTCTAGTCTGTTCAGTTTCAAGGTGGAAATAGATGATCAGGGAAGTGAAGGTGGAGATACAGGTTGCTCAGTGTTGTCATAAACACACCATGTAGCTGTTCTATTTCTTTCTGCTTCTTACTTCTTAAGGAACCTTGTCATGCAAGACGTAAGTTTTAAAGATTTCCAAAGTCTAGGCCTTGCATTTAAGAAATGCCAAGGTGCCAAATAGTGGTGTGTTTTTAATTATATATCTATGCTGTGAGCATATTCCATCTGTTCCACGTGCCTTGTACGGAACTTGCTGTCTAAAGACTAAGTGTTTTATTCCGTTCTTTTCCAGTCACAAGCATAACAATGGTCAACCTATGTGGTTTACACTTGGCATAAGGGAAGCTATCAAAGGCTGGGACAAAGGTTTGAAGGACATGTGTGTGGGAGAGAAGCGGAAGCTAACTATTCCACCAGCCCTTGCTTATGGAAAAGAAGGGAAAGGTAAAACACCTGAAGTCCTTCCCTTACTTTAATTGTTTTTAATCTCTGTATTTTACTGTTATTCTTGGCCTAAGAGTTTAGCAAGCTTTCCAGGCTGATTCCATTAAATAAGAAAAATTTATGGAGCCAGGTGCTCTTTTCTCACAAATTTGTTTTCTGCACAAATAACCATTAAGTGGTTGTGTGGTGAATGCAGGAAAAAAACAGGAATTGATGGTAGCTGCTGTGCTGTATGTTCCGAGTGTCTTGTCTTTTCTGTTAGCGCTGTGCTCAACAGTGCCCTGCTTTTTTTTTTTTTTTTTCTTTCTTCCCCCTCCTTTATACAGTCAAGCTGGAAGTGGTTGCTTAGGTAACAGTTGGCTTTTTGGCTGTCGCATCTGTGTTTGTGGCAATACTTCATGAATGTGCATGTGCAAGCCTCATTCTTGCTTGCAGGTTTCTTTTAGAACCCTAAGAAACTCCCTGTACTGCTGCCCAACCAGTTTGAAGCTGATAGAGTGAAAAGTCACTGTTTATTTCTCCATACAGGGACACTTAATTGTTTCTCTCTTTTGGTTATGTTTGATTTGGGACATGGTCCCTGTTATCCACAGTAAGATATGCAGGTACATGGGCAGTCATGTTGGCACCTAATGCAAATGTGTTGAATGGTGTACAGACAGATAAAAGCATTTTTTGTAGTGTTTTGTCAACCTGACTACTACTGATGGTGTTTGGGGGTTTTCCTTTCAACCATTCCAGATTTCTATTTTAATGGGAGGGCCAGATCTGGAATTTGAAGTTAACTGAGTGACAGCTTGAATGATGCATGAAGGTTACTCTTCTGCTTTATGGGGTTTGTTTTAGTTAACTTTTTTGGAGCAATTATTATGAATATTTTTGTCATAACAACAGTTATCACAAATGACCTAAAGTAATGCAGCATTTCAAAGCAGAAAGGATAAATGTCTTGGAACATATAGTCCTTTCTGCTACTGTCCTCTCCCATTAATCTGAGACTGTTTTAGGAATTATGAGTGTTTGCATGTCTGTATCTTCTGGCAAGTAGGGCTGAACGTAGGCTAAGTAGTACTCTACACATACAGCATACTCCATACCCTCTTTTCTTGAAAGTATCCTTTTAAAATGTATTTTTCTAGAAGCCTTAGTTTGGGCTTCAAGAGATAGTTTTAGAAGAAATCACATTTCTAGTAGAGAACAGGAAACTTGTGGTGGTCAGTTAATTGACTGCATACAGTCACAACTGTAAATTTTTCCACAAAAAGATAATTAAATGCTGCAGTGCTCACATAGTCGTCACAGGCCTAATTGCCTTGATTAATATGTGAAGCACTACAGTTGTTCTTCAAAGATTTGCAAGCCTCACCTCTGTGTTTAGTGCAAGAAGGTTGAACAAGTAAACACTAACTGCTGTAAGAAGTGACTTGCTTTAGGGAAACTTTGAAGTGTTTGAACATAATTATTTTGCTATTTTCAAATTATGCCCTTGAAGACAGAATTATTCAATTTTCTTCATGCTTTCCTCTGAATGCACATAATTTCACTATGTGAAATTGCCTCCCACCTTGCTTGCTGTCTGACTTGAATGATGAGTCAGAAGCCTTTTTCTGTAACACTCAGAAAAATTACCTGTGTTCCAAACTCTAAGCAGGTCACCATGCCCTGTATTTCTAGAAGTTTCTGCACATTCATTTATCCCAGAAATCTACAAGCCTGTTTGTTGCTGCAGCTCAGGGTGTATTTAACACCATAGCTCCAAAATAGTAGATGTGGATTAGTTTTTTTCCCCCTATCTTCTCAAGGCAGAGGAGTATTTTTCTGGGGTGCTGTCATCCAATATAGAAATATATTTGGTCCTGTTCAACCTCTGTCTATATAAAGGACCAAAGTGATGTGCTAAAATGTCTTTGACAGTAGCTTCAGCCATCAGCATGAAGTCATATCGCATCACTGTAAAAGCCAATGCCTGATAAACTGAAATCCTTGAGGCATGGTGGCATGGGGGTGGTGGTCTCTGGCACTATTAGGGAATTATCAGTCTGTTCACGTGCATCAAAAATGGCATGATGTCAACACGTGTCTTTTGAGCAGGTTTATATAGTTTCTGCTGTGTGTTTGGAAATAGCCCAGTGCCTTGTGCAGCAGTCCAGAGGCAGCTACGGGATACTGACAGTATTGCTTCACTTCATTCGTTCTCTGCAAGAAGAGTTTTTCCAGTGGCAGAATAGCAGGTACAAGGTGTCAGTTGACAGCGGAGAGGAATCTGGAGACTGGTGTGGTTATGGTGTATCAGAAGGACTGAACTCTCCCTTCTTGCTACCCTGTCCATCAGTCTTGGCTGTATGTTATGGTAGCTGCCACCTGGCTAGCTGTACAGTCTCCTTCACCATTTTCCACTTTTATCTGGCTCTGGCCATGAAAAAAGATTCAAGAATGTTGTCTGGTAAACCTTTGATGAGGATGGCTGAATGTGAGCTCATACCAACATGTACTAGTCTCCAACAAAACTAGTTGCATCTAAAATTGCATATGTGCTGTAAGGGGTGCTCAGGGTCCAGGCTACCATCTGAAATAGTTGGTTATCACTGTTACAGATACTTATCCTTGTTAGTTCAAATTGCAGAATGCTTTGAAAGTAGTAGGATTACTGGAACATTGCTCTGATGCATACAGCTTTTGTATGGCACGAAATATGTAGTTTTTAACTTTTCTCCATGTTTACTGTTTTGGGCAGGAAAAATTCCACCTGAGAGCACACTGATTTTCAACATTGACCTTCTAGAAATTAGGAATGGACCAAGGTCTCATGAGTCATTCCAAGAGATGGATCTTAATGATGACTGGAAACTGTCCAAGCAAGAGGTGAGTGAGTTACCCTTCTTGTGAACAAACCTAACAAGGTGGGATAGTGGAAAGGGAAAGATAAGCTTAACTTGATCGTGTTAGGGAAGTATCTAAACACAAGTTAGATTTTAGCTACTACTGTGCACAAAGCAATTCTGCAAGCAGAATACACACTATTTAAGAGTGCTTAAGGCAATTATTTATTGGGCAATGTGCAGTATGGGTAACTAGGTCTAATGAGTTGTTAGCACAACTACTGAACTGATACGCTCATCACTCATGGTAAGACACCCAAGAAGCCATTGCTGGCCAGGTGGCTGTTAGTCATGTGGGACGGGTGAGTCTCTGTTCTTCGCTGGAGATGACTTTCAATGTTGCTGCCTTTGATTCTCTGCTTTTTTTGCCTGTGGTGTTTTATGCCTTTTTGTGTTGGTATCTTTCCTGCTGAATGCTCTTGAACTACTATTCCTGGCTCAACAATTAAGCTCCTGTCTGTGTTTTGCCTTTCTTGTGTGGCTTCAGCTGTCATACTTTCTTACACCTTAACAATAGATTTTTTTTTTTTTCCCTTGGTAAAACTAAGCCAAGGATGCACATCTATGCTGCATCATGTTGAGCCTTTGATCCCAGTGGAATTGCTGGACTGGGGGTGCCAAAGCGGCCTCAGTAAGCTGAGGCGTAGGCATGAGACCCATTGTGCACCATGCTTATGGGAGACTTGGATGAAGTAAAACAACTTAGAAGTAAAATCAGACTTCAGGGCTTTTCAGTCAGTTACGGTTTTACTAATAAACTGGATTTAGAAATTATTCTGCTGTAGGGCAGTCCTGTTTCATAGCATTCACTGTCTGAAGATCATGTATTCAGCATTATTCACCTTCTGTTTGTCTCTTATTTTCAGTATTCTGCTTTTCCAATGTGCAAAAGTTATCCATGAGAAGTTAGGATAAACCACTTAGTTCTTTTTGATTTGGGGCTGGTACAGTTTGCTAGACCCAAAAGACTAATCTTTTGTACTGTGCATCAGGCAGACTGTCAGTGTGTCCAATGTCTGTGTATTAGAAATGTAAGCAATGACCCTAACAAATACCACAATGTGGAATGAATAAAACAGACCTGAAACATGGCCCATTTATCTTGCTGTTAACAGTCTGCTGTTACGGTTCTTGTTATACAAGTGGTATCTGTTCACCAGGTGGGTATGTTGGTATTGATATTCTTGTAGAAGGCTCTGCAGTTTAGAACACTTGGGATCTTAATAGTTAAACCTTAAACTCAGTAAAAATAATCTGATGTTCAAACCACTGCTCACCATTAGTAACTAGTTTAGTGTAAATAACTGTTCCAGTAGTCTGTTTAAAAACCACGTTGAGTCTTTGTCCTTCAAAATTTTGAGATGTCTAGAAATAAATCTTTATTAATGTAGTTCCCATTAGAGCAGCAAACGCTGAGATTGTGGACAGATTTCTGTGTATATCTGGGGTGGCTGGTTACATCTACTGGTTTGTCAAAGTGCTAGGATGTGAAGAAGCTGTTTGGGTCTCTGACCAGTTGGTAGCTAGTAACTTCTGCCTGGCTATTTGTACTTTACTGTATAGACATCAGATGACAGGTTTTCCTGGCTCATTTTTCAGTCAGATACCATAAAGGTATGGCAACTGATTTGCTAGTTTTACTGTCTCTTATATGACTCAAGAGTCTTTCATCACTGAACAGGGCTACAGAATCAGTCAGACAAGTATTATTCTGGCAGTGGCATAGGGAGGAAGGTATCTATTGTCTAATTCTACCATCCTGGACGGAGTGGCCCTCTCTTAGGCTACAGTAATCAATTCTTTCATAAACCTAAAAACATTAACTCTCACCTTTTGTCTAACAGGTGAAAATTTACTTGAAGAAAGAATTTGAAAAGCATGGAGCAGTGGTAAATGACACCCAGCATGATGCTTTGGTTGAAGATATATTTGATAAAGAGGATGAAGACAATGATGGGTTTATATCTGCAAGGGAATTTACATACAAGCATGATGAGCTGTAGAAAAGGGTGGCGTAATTTTTTTTTGACACAAATGGCAGTGAGTTAGACTGTCTGGTTCTCTTGTTCTCTTAATTCTGTGTTTTGGAGTTGACACCTGGTGTTGGCAATGAAATGCTCATTGTTTATATAAAAGATAATTTCTGTTCATTATGTAAAAAATGTTTTAAACAATTTTGAAGTATGAAAATGTACCTCCTTTTATGCAGCGAAGACTTGCACATGAGTGTTTTTTAAATTTTGTATTAACTTATTTTTCCAGAAGTGAAGCAAACTTTCTAGTTATCAAACATTGTGAAAATCATAATCCAGTTCAGTGCCATTCTGTGATTTGTTTGTGTTAAGATCCCTTTCAGTGACTCCTTTGTGTATAACTTCTAGTCTGTGTTTTAATTACTTGACCTTCCTTCTTGTGTGTCACTGCATAAAAAGCAGTGTGCTGACCTTGCTTTTTTTCCCACAGATTTTTAAAAGATGTACTAGAAGGCATCAGCATCTCTTTATACAGCTGAGAAACTGATACAGAGCTGAATGAGAATAATGACTATCCTGTGCTGATTTTGCTCTTTTAAAGGGAGAGTATTACCAACCATGCCAATAACTGTCTGCATTTTTCTTTAAATTATGTCAACAAAGGAGGAGTTAAATGTCAGACTTTCACTTTTAATGTCAGCAGCATTCTAGGCAATGTCTGTAATGTGGAAAACAGCAACTTATGCTGCAGTGCAGAGGTGGTGTCCTTTACATATACTTAATTTGTTTTGAAACTTGGAGTTTGCATTTATGAAGAAAAATCATACCTTTCTCCTCTCAAGTTTTGAGGGACATCTTGAGCAAAATGTTACAAGTCTGAAGTTTTTCCCATTTGCAGAAGGGGAAGAGCATTCTGACAGGAGGATCAGTATGGCCTGAACAACAATATGCATTGGCTTGCCTGCTTTGCAACTGCCTCAGTTGCAGAACTTGTTTTGTCATTGCCCCTTTAGAGTATTTTCACAAGTAGCACACAAGTGATGTAAATTTTAAATAATAAAGTGACTTTTTAGAAAAATAGAGGCATAAGGTAAGTGTTATGGTGCTGTGTCTTTACAGAGGTGGAGACCATGAGGATTTCAACTCCTTTTTGTGTTTGTTTGAACAGTTTCTGGAGCGGAAGAAACATTTTGCAGTTGTCCATGGTTTCTTAATTGAGAGGGCAAGGTATCTCAGGGAAGGAATTAGCCTGTGTTCTGGCACCACTAGCATATGGGTCTCTGAACACAGTATTTTACTTGAAAAATGTTGCTCAAGGCTATGTAGGGATACAAAGGAAATCCAGTTGTGTGAAATCAAAATTGCTGCATTGCACAAATCTTAACTATTGCCAAGTGAGACTACATTCAAGGTTCTCGATGCCATAGACGAGCTAGCTGTTTTCCCTGCCACCTAGTGTTGCAAGTAAGTATTAGAAGACTATTAAACAGAGTTCAGCTGCATATGGACATTACAGATTGCTGTCAATAGTGACTGTTTCGGGGAGAAAAAGTATAGGTGAAGGTATGCAGTGGTGGGGTTTTTGTTTTGTTTTTTTTTTCTTCCAGCATCTGGCATTTTGTGGGTGATAGCCTATGTGATACAGACTTGTGGCCACATATTTTGTTTTCAGTAACCTTTAGGTCTTTTTCCTCAGCGATGCCATCTAGTTCTCTTGAACCCATTTAGACTTTTGCTTCCATAATGTTCTATGGCAGTGAGTTTCACAGTAGAACAGTGTAGGAAAATATTTCCCTTTTTGTTTTTAGGTTTCTTGCCTGTCCCAGTTCTTGTATGGTGAGGAAATAATGAATAATCATTACCTATTTAGCTCCTCTTACCAGTCATGATTTTGCATATTGGTATTTTTTTCTCATCGCTTATGAAAATTAAGCTTGCCCAACTTCAGCTCTCCCAAGCTTACTTGCATGTCTGTGCTGGGTGTCTTGATTTCCCCTGCAGTCACCAGAGCACTAGGCACCTGGGGGCAACTCATCACACGTATATTGTTCATGTTGTATTGGGATAGATGCCTTATCGAATAGAGTTTCCTGTCTTTCTCCACTGAGTACATGGGGAGCCTAGGCTGTTAGCATAGCTGAGGACAGCTAATGGGATATGAAGTTGACCCTTAAGGCAGTCTTGCCTAGGATGTGGAAACTGACAGGTACCCAATCAACCAAAGGGAAAATACTGCATGTGCACTGCTGGCAAGAGCAGAACTGAGACTTGCATTGGGTCTGTCAGGGTTTTAGATGATTGTTTGCAGTGTTTAACATGTTCTCTCCAAACATCTGGCTGGGGAATGAAAGCATGCAATAAAACTTTGCCCAGATTACTGACCAAATATATAAAAAGTTAAGCTTAAATAATGGGGTGCCAATATGTGCCTTCAGTAATGGCCAAATGTTGTTTCCTTTGTATTAAAGAGGAGGTTGGAGTTAGCGAATGCTGTGAAATGTACATATGCGTTATCTTCTGCTGGGATTTTTAAAGCATTTCATAAAAATAACTTCCAGTGAACATGTAGTTAATTTGTTAATGCCAGCAGAGTATTAAAGCTGCAGGACCAAGATGCTTTATTTGGTTCTATGTGTAGGTTTATGCCAGCTGAGTGGATGGTTTTTGTTCTTAGTGCTTTTCTTGGTAGCTCTGTTAAATTTCTGAAATTAAACTGAAAAAAAATTTTCAAAAGTGCAGAATCAGCAGCAGATTTGAGAAGCCATTTCAACCTTATTACCATTTGCTATTGTTAAAGACCTTCTGTGAAGATGAAGGGATTTCTTAGGTAGAAATAGCACTGCCTGTCTTAACCTCAGTTGTATCTGCTTGTTAATCCACAGGGCATACTGCTGCAGTGCCAGCAGGAGCCAGCTAGCTACCTGCAGGAGAGCAGAGGCAGGCAGCTGCCTGTCCCCCGAGGGGAGGAGGAATATTGGAACTTGAGTGGCTCTCGGCAACGTTTTGGCAGGCTTGCATGTGAAGTGCAAGGTGTATTTCCCCTGAAGAAGCAAGCCCTCGCTGCGTGTCTGTAAAACACAGCACTTCTTCAAGTGGAGAGGGCTCAAAACAGACCACTTGCCTCCTGCAGGTTATAGCCTTCACACATTTCTTGTTGTTTTGTGGTTATATAGGAAAATATGTACTGATGGTTTTTAGAACTGCAGCCTGTCATTCACAGCCACTACCTAGCAATTACAGTGGGGGTTGCTGCCTTCTGTAGGTACAGAAGCAGCCTTCAGAGCTCATTTTAATTGAAAATTCTCGATATGCAATGCAATGACACAAGAAGGCTTCTGGCAAAGCTTCAGGAATGGTGCTTATAGTCTGAAATGGTTTTTAAAGGTTTCTTCTTTGAGATCAACTGACAAGGCAAACAGTGTTGAAAATGAAGGAATCACTTTATCAGGTCTTAAGTCTTTGCTTTTCAGTACCGTATGTCTCTGCTGCCAGCAACATCCCTGATATAGAGGTGTTTTGTGAGTGCTATATGTGACAGAGACATAAAATTGCAGTGTTAAGTACATATTGAAGAAACTGCTACCATAATTTCTTCTTCATGACACTTAGAATGAAAATGATCCATAGCATGTTTCCCAAGTACTTCAGTGTAATAATAGGTGGTAGAGGTCAGCCTTTAAATTACAATTGTCTTTGTCGTATGTGCTCCCCACACCCCATCACTTCTGCTTTTAGATACAAGGTGGTCTATCCCTTGATCCAGAAATCCCAGATTCGGATGGCAGGATGGGGAGAGCTCATTGCTTTGGGACATTACGGGAAAAGGAGCAAAGTGAGGGGAAATGTGGTAAGAGGGAGTGGAAGTACGCAGGGTGATGCAAGAAATGCAAAAAAATGTGTTTCCTAGATCCTTTGGCATCTGCTAACTTGGAAGAAAGAACACTGGCCGACACTGATGTAGGTACTGCAAATAATAAGGCTGGCTCCTGAGCTGACTTTAATTAGGAATCACTGCTTCGGCCAGTTTCTATATGGATTTTTACTCTTATGACAAAGTTTAAATTTACACTTCCAAGGTCCATTAAAGAACATTCAGAATAGGTATGTTGAGTTTGCTTCTGAAAAATACATCAGCCTCATCATAGAGCTTTTGCAAAAAGACCCACAAAACCCCCAAACCCCACCACCCCAAAACCCTTCATTTGTCTTCAACACTGAATTGTTTTTGGTAACAGGAAATAAGCCAAACAAAAACTGCTTATATTTGTATAATCCTGGATAATTTTAGCCTCTCTTGAAAGTTAATCGTAATGCTTACATTCTGTGCCCTAGTTTTCTCCTGGTACGTAGGAAAAACAACTCTCTGACAAAATAAGGATCTTTCTTTAGCTATCCTTCTGTTTTCATGCTTGTGCTTGATTATGTTGATAGTTTCTCACAAGAAATTTAATTGAAAAGCTCAGTAGGAAGCTATATATCTGTATATACAGGGACAAGGACCTTCACTATGAGTTCTCCCAGCCTGGAGGGGATTTAGATGAAGCCTCCTCCTGCATCACATTTCTTCCTTCTAGGAGGTTCTGTTCCAAAACCAGGCTGGTTTAGCTAGGGGTTGCATCGGTTAGGAGTTGTGTGGTATTTCTGTTCTCTTGGATGATGTAAAAAAAGTAGGAGCTTGGTTTAGCTGAGAAATTTACCATGAAGATAGAGGATAGTTTGAAACATGTCAGGTAAGGAATTTTGTGCAAGGTTTCTGAAGGTCATGTTCCTAATGGAGCGCTGGAGTTTGTCCACAGGGATTGGGTTTTTTGGTTTGGGTTTGGGTTTTGGTTTTGGTTTGGTTTTTTGTGGGTTTTTTTTTTTTTTTTTTTGCTTGTAACCGCTCTGCATCTCCATTAGGTAAACAATGAACAAACCTACTTTTAAAATACTAGGATCTGACTGCAGAAATCTAGTGGAGCCAACTCTTCAGAGCTCCCCAAATCCCAGTTATGTTTTCCTCTAAAAAATCTGAGGCTGATGCTAACTGCCATTAAGAGCTGCTCTTCTTATTAGATACAATGCTTCTGATTTCTAGTTTGTGTCATGACCTGCTTAAGGAGATTAAATGACAGGATAATTGATTCCTCATCTGGGAGTCAAGACTGAAAGCATTAAATCAATCCTGTCCTCTTACATTTATTGCCATTGAAATTTCTTTAAAGCTGTTGCCTCTTCTGTCTCTTTCCCTGAATAGTGAACTAGGTAATACCTATTTCTTTTGCGTGTTTGGTCTGCTGTCTCTCTGGGAGTAAACAGCACAGCGTAGCTCTGGTCTCTCTAATCCACTGGGATATGCCTTTAGAGAATGGGGTTTCATTCCATAAATACAATGCAAAATGTTTTTTGTGACCTTGTGTCCATGTCTGGGTACGGAATCTACAGGGCTACAGCTAATGGACTAACTGCTGCTTCAAGAAAAGTGTGACCTGTTGGATCTGACTCTTAGTAACACTGACCACAATACTAAGAGAGGTAAGACTGGCAATGTTCCTTCCTTTTAACAGAAGGTAAGAATTTAATTTGCATCCAGTATTTCAGCCCTTACGTGCCGTCATGTCCTCGCTGCTGTTGTCACTGTTATTAGTTGGATGAAAACCTGGGCTTAACGTGGTCACACGGACATCGCGATGTAGACTTGCACTCTGAAATAATTCAGTGCTCTGCCTTTGCAAAACTGAGTCTGAAGCAAAGCTCCCAGACACATGGCACTCATCTTGCAGCTGACAAATGAGCACAAACTGCAACGGGAGCAGGTATGGAGCAGAAGTGGCCAATGCTGCTGTTCATTTGGTACCAGATCCTGATGTTGCTAACCTGAGCCAAGTCCAGCTCGCCATGGCACCCTTTCGCAACAGCCAGAACCAGCCATTCACGCAGTGGTGGGGCTGTGTGAAGGCAGGCTGGTGAGGTGGGCTCTAGGACACCAATTAATACGGTCTGTCAGACCTCCGCTGGCTCTGAACCTTCACCCCTTGTTTCTGGAGCAGGAAACTGCCCGAGGGCAGCACCGGCCTGTGTCCGTGCCTCCGGACAGAGGAGAGCAGCACTAGCCAGGCTCCCGCTGTCACACCACTGCCTGGGGGTAAAGCAGGCTTGGAGAAAACACCAGGGGCCCTTGCACGGGGGAAATAGCAGAGAAAATAGGCAGGGGGATAGCTCTCCAAACCATCCCGTTTTTCTTGGCTGATATCCACAACAAATATAAGGAAGTTTAAAAACTCCTGGGTAATTTATTGTTGAGATTTCTTTATTCAGATATGTACATAAGGAATAACATGCAACCAGCATGAAACATACAATACAGTTTGAGGTTTGTTGTTTTTCCCATCTCCTGTTAACTACTATTTTCTATTTGTACATGGTGGACAAGGCCATTTATGTAAATGAGGGCTCTATGACAGAGATACTCAGTTGTGGACATTTTTTTAAAATGCATTTTTCCTGTCCTTTTGGAAGTACAGGAGCCAAAAGGACTTCTCTATTTTATTTTAGTTTGGAGTGTTTCTGTCATCAGAGGTCACTGCAGCTACCTACCACTTCCATGAATAAGGAAAATGACTTAATCATTGAAGGGGTTTTTTGGAGTCAGGACTCAAAGTTATATTTAAAAAAAACCAAAACACCCCCCCCCCCCCCCCTTTGGGCCCACGGGGGGGGACGGGCCACACGGGATTTAATTTTTATTTTCAA